CAGGAGATGCTGCCCACCAGCATCCCAGAGATCCAGGTGTGGGGCGGCTCCTGGCCCGCGCGGCAGCCTATATGCTGGTGCGACGGCGGTGGGCCTGGGCGGGCTGCCGCTGCTGCGGGGCGGCCCACCCCACCACCTCCTGCGCCACACGCCCATGCCAGCTTGCTTATCGACGCGCACCCCTTACCCTGAGTGCTGCCCTGCCCTTCGCTTGCCTGCGTGCTGACACGCCTCTCCCCTGCCCACCTCACCTCACCTCACCTCACTCCCCACCCCACCCCAACCCCACCCCCCGCAGCGCTCCAACCTGTCCATGACGGTGCTGACCATGAAGGCGATGGGCATCAACGACCTGCTCAACTTCGACTTCATGGACCCGCCGCCGCCGCAGGTGATGGTGGTGGTGGTGGGGTGGTTTTGTTGTTGGTGGTGTGGGCTCCAGGGTGGGGTTCCATCTGCTTGAGGTGTTAGTAGTGTAGGGGGCCTGGGCAGGGCAGGGGCTGCTGGGCGGATGCCGGGGATGGCGGCAGGACTGCCAGGGGGCGCCGCAGAGCTCCCCGCATCTTCCAGCGCTGACCTCGAGGCCCGCCTCCCTCCCCTCCCCAACCCACCGGACCATTCATGCAGACCCTCATCTCCGCCCTGGAGCAGCTGTACAACCTGGGAGCGCTGGACGAGGAGGGGCTGCTGACGCGGCTGGGCCGCAAGATGGCGGAGTTCCCGCTGGACCCGCCCGTCAGGTGCGGTCCTGTGGTACCGCCTTGTGGTACTGTACGCTGTGTGGTATTGCACTGTTTTTTGGCAGTGCATGTGTAGCGCTACACGTCCTGCCTCGCGCACAAACACATCCTGCGCTCCCCCCCTCGCGGCCGCTCTCGCTGCCCCAAGCATCCCACCTTGCTCCTGCCCCTCTCCCCCACCCGCGCACACACCACCACCCCTGCGCCTCCCCGCAGCAAGATGCTGATCGCCAGCGTGGACCTGGGGTGCAGCGAGGAGGTGCTGACCATCATCGGCATGCTCTCCGCGCAAAACATCTTCTACCGGTGAGCCAGGGCGCAATGTCGGTGGGCAGGCTGCCGGTCGCTCCAGCGCTTGCAAGCGCATGCTTCTCTCGCCCTGCTGCTCTCCGCCACCCAGCGTGCCGGCAACTCTCCTCAGCACCAGCCCCACACCCGCACCCAACCCCACCACCCCACCACTCACACATTTGCACCACACCACACCGAACCAAACCGAACCACACTACCCCACCTTACCCACCCACCTGCTCACCCACCCTCCCGCAGGCCCAAGGAGAAGCAGGCGCAGGCTGACCAGAAGAAGGCCAAGTTCCACCAGCCCGAGGGCGACCACCTCACGCTGCTGGCGGTCTACGAGGGCTGGAAGAACTCCAAGTTCTCCAACCCCTGGTGCTACGAGGCCTTTGTGCAGGTGCGGCGGAGGCCGGGTGGTGGGGTGTGGGGGAGGTGGGATGGGAGGGAGCATGGGGCGGTGGCGACAGGTGTAGCGTGCAGGCCAACCAGCCAGCGGATGGGCAGCCATTGACTGGTTCCACGCCACCGACGTGCACGCGCGCTCTCTCTGCTCTGGCCAACCCGCCGTGCGCCTGCGGCCCCCGCTCTCCTGCTGCGCTGCAGGCGCGGTCGCTGCGGCGGGCGCAGGATGTGCGCAAGCAGCTGGTGGCCATCATGGATCGCTACAAGCTCGACCTGGTGTCAGGTGGGCTGAACCGCATCGCCAGGCAGAGAGACGCAACGGATGGGGAAGCAGAAGCCACGCCCTGCATCCCCCCAGCGCTCTCCTCTACCTGTCGTTAACCTGCCAGTGCTTCTGGCACCGAGACGGTGACGACCCGGTGCTTGCCCTCTGTGCCCCGCTCACCCGGTACCGGTACCGTCCCCTGGCCCCTGCTGGTACTGCAGCCGGGCGCAGCTACCAGAAGATCCAGAAGGCCATCTGCTCCGGCTTCTTCTTCCACGCCGCCCGCAAGGACGCGCAGGAGGGCTACAAGACGGGTGCGTGGGCGGGGTGGGCGGCCTGATGGTGGTGTGTGGGTTTGGCGTGCGTGGTGGCGGTGGTGGTAGGCGGGTGGCTCGGCAGCAAAAAGCATCCACCTGGTGTGTACCCCGGCCTGCCTCGACCGTCGTTCCCTTTAGAACACGCACACATGATGCTCAGCTGCTACGACTGGCCTTGCCCTCCCTCTTCGTGCCTGCAGTGGTGGAGCAGCAGCCCGTGTTCATCCACCCCAGCTCCGCCCTCTTCCAGCACCAGCCGCAGTGGGTGGTGTACCACGAGCTGGTGCTGACAACAAAGGAGTACATGCGAGAGGTGCGGCCCCTGTACTGCACACTGCGCCGCCGATGCGCCGCTCCTGTGCCGCCTGCTGCCGCCGCGCCGCCTCCCGCCCCTTTCCTCCTTCCACCCAACGCACCGCCACCCCAAGCACTGCATCTCTGCCTGCCTCACCCCACCCCTGCCCCACCCCTGCCCATGCCAGGTGTGCGAGATCGACCCCAAGTGGCTGGTGGAGATGGCGCCGCGCTTCTTCCGCGCCGCTGACCCGCACAAGCTCTCGAGGCGCAAGCGGCACGAGCGCATCGAGCCCCTGTACGATCGCTTTGCTGAGCCCAACGAATGGCGTTTGAGGCGAGTTATGAAGAAAAAGGATATGAAGAAAAAAGGCTGCCGCAAAAGAAGCTGGCGCCTGACGGTGTCGGTGGTTGCCCATGTTGCCGCACTCAATGCGCCTGTCTGTTTCCCTCTCCTTCACTGCCCCATCCCGTTCCTTGCAGTAAACGGCGCGGCTAAGCTCCGAGCGACACGTGCTTTCCAGCGGCAGCACAGAGCTGTCAGCGGCACACCTGGCCCGCCTGCGGTCGTCGGCGGTGGCAGCGACGCCGGGCGTGCGTCTGCAGAGACCTGCATGGCTGCCTCTCTACTTCTGTGCATGTGTTCATAGCACTCCGTGCGCTGTAATGACGCAGCGCAACAGCCGCAGAACAAAGAGACAAAGCAAAAGGCGGGTGGGGCGGCGGCGCCTGCCGAGCGCGCTGGTCGGTGGCAAAGCACAGCACGCTCTGCTGTCTTTCGCTTCGTCTCGCTCCCCCAGCCCCAGTTGCGCCCACCATTCCGCTTCAATGACTGCGCCATTGGGTCGTCGCTGCCCTGCGCAAACACGAGCTCGCCTCGCTCCCCTGTCTCAACAGCGGCGCCGGGCCTATCAGACATGCTCCGCGCATCGCCGTTGGGACCGGAGCGCTGGCGATGGGTCCGCCGAATGGGTCCGCTGAATGGCAGTGCAGCACTTTGGCGGCGCCAGCGATGCATGCAGCAGGGGAATGCATCCCTGAAACTTTCTCTCCCCCTCTTGAATGAACAGCAATGCAAGGTGTTGTAGATCTCGAGGGCCTGCTGACAGGAGTGCACGGGCGCCGGAGGCGTGCGGCTGTAGCACGTTGGCAGGCAGGGTGAGCGAGTGTCGCCAGCCAGACTGACGTCGGTGCACAGCGATCCGCAAGAAATCGGCTGCTGCCCTGGCTCAGTTTCCCGCTTTAGGATGTGATTCAGGAAGTGGTATCAGGCCATGCAGATGGGGGCCACAGGCTACAAAGGCTTGCTATGCAAGGTCTAGCACATCGTTCCTGGCTCGCCAGCATGCTGCGCGCTCTGAGGGGTGGCAGACAGTTGCCAAGAGCCTGCATTCACCTGCATCGCATAGTATTGGGTACCATGGCAGGAGGCAGCAGCACTCCCCAGAAATTTCATGGCTTTGCTTTACACCGCCTGGGCACTATGCCGTGTGCATCAGTGTGCAGGCAATGCATCGTGCAGGTCAGTGGTGGTGGCCCCAGCTGAGCGCCACCGGTAGCAGGCTGCCCAGCGCCACCGCCGCCAGCTGGCTGCTGCTCATGCGGGCGTGGCCGCCCCCGCCGCCGCTCTGCAGCACCTCTGGCAGGATGTGCATGGTGGCGGCATACAGGAAGGTGCCGCCCGAGAAGAGCACGCACAGGGCCACGGCCCCGGGCGAGGACAGCACCGCCAGCGAGCCCAGCAGGCCGTAGGTGGCCAGCGTGGCGGCGGGTGCCGCCGCCGCAAACAGCAGCAGCGTCTTCTGGGAGCGCTGGAAGGTCCACTGGCAGGCCATGAGGTAGGTGGCCAGCCCAAAGGCCATGGGAGCCTTGTGGAGCACCATGGCGGCAGCTGTGGGTGGAAGGTGCAAGGTGGAAGGTGCAAGGTGAGAGGCAGACAGGAGGCAGGTGGACGAGGCAGCGCAGGCGGGAAGGGGTAGAGGCGGCAGCTGGAGGGGTGGGCCGCTCCAGCAGGGGCGCCTGCTTCAGGCTCCCGTGCCCGCTCTCCTCCTATAAACCACACACACACACACACACACACACATGCGCGCGCGCGCACACACACACACACACCTCACTGCATCCCACCCCACCCCAAACCTACCGATCAGCATGGTGAGGCGGGCGTCGCCAGAGAGGAAAGCAGCGCCCATGGCCAGCCCATCGGCGGCGCAGTGGATGAGCAGCCCCGTGATGGCGCTCTGAGGGTCGGCCGGCGGCGGCGGCGGGGCCGCTGCGCCTGCAGCGTGCGGAGTGGCGGTGGAGAAGGGCGGCGAGAGCGAGCGGAATCAGGCGCATGGCAAGTGAAGGCGAGTTGGGGGAACGGCATCCCAAGAGGAGAGGCGGGGCACGAACAAGGGAGGCTTGCAGCAAACAGTGCTAGTGTGACCCAGCAGGGGCTGGCACAGAGATGTGAGCAGCCGCACACCTTTCTTGGCCTTGCCAGTGCAGTCTGCTGCCTCTGCACGTGGCTCGCCAACGTGCCCTGCGTCGCTGCTGCCGGCCGCCGTGCCCTTCTGCCCCGCCGCTGCCTGTCTTTCGGGCGACCTGTCTTTCTGGCGCTCCTGGCCGGCGCTGGCGCTGACGCAGTCCCCGTTGCCGTGCGAATGGCTGCGAGCGTGGTGGTGGTGGGCGTGGGTGTGGCCTGGCGTGCCACAGCTGCCACCTGCCGCATGCTGCAGGTGGTCGAGTAGTAGCATGGCCAGGAAGCCACAGATGAGGACCAGCCCCGCCAGCCCCTCTGGCAGGCCCTCCTCGTGCTCCTCGTGCCCAGGCTCCTCCTCGTGGTCGTGGTCGTGTTCATGAGCATGCGAGCCAGCCTGCAGGCACAGGCAGGGCGCCGCCAGGGTAGGGCAAGATGCATGCGGCAGAAGTGACGAGGGCGGGTGGCGGCGGCGGCGGCGCACCTCCGCAAAGGCATGGAAGCCCTCGGGGATGATGACGGCCAGCGCCGAGCCGATCATCAGGCCCGCCCCGAGCGCTGCAACCGTCTGCAGGTGCGTGTCTTTCACGCGGAGGAAGAAGGGCGCGCAGCCGCATGCCAGTGCCCCAAAGAACATGAGCGCCAGTGTGGTGAGCAGCTGCATCCCCACGCCCTCCATCCTGGCAGCCTGAGCGATCAAAGGCAGCAATTGGGCAAGGTGGGATGGCCTTGTATGTCGACGGAGGTTTGCTGGCGCTCTGGACCGCCTCTGAAGATGGTGCGATGCGGCGAGGTCTCTGTTGCAGTAGATCAAAGTACCGACAGCCCAGGAAGTACTATTCAAGCCCAAGGAAACGCCCTCTGGCATCGATAGCAATCCAGCGATCCCTCTAATGAACCTGTAATCGACAATGGAGCTCACAATAAAGTATGGCAGGGAGACGCTTGCGGTTTCGCTGCCGCCCGACAGCAGCGTGGCAGAACTGCAGGAGGAGCTGGAGAAGCTGACGGGGTTGATGGTAGGTGCTCGTTTCTCCAGCCATCTGTGCCGCCGCTATGCCACCGGCCGCCGCTGCCGCCTGCTGCCTGCCGATGCCGCCGCCACCGCTGCCACCGAAACGCTGCCTGCCCATCGGCCTCCCCGTCACTGGCCAACACGCACCCTTGCAGGTGCGCAAGCAGAAGGTCATGGTGGCAGGCAAGGTGATCAGCGGGCGGAGCGGCAGCCTGGCGGCTGCAGGGGTCAAGCCCGGCGCCAAGCTGATGCTGCTAGCCGGGGCGGGGGCGCCCAGCCAGGGGCAGGCTGCACTGGATGCGGCGCGGCAGGGCCGCCAGCAGGCATTGGAACGAGGGCGGCAGCAGCTGGCAGAGCGAGCCGCGCAAAAGGGCATCGCGGTGGCCGCGGCGTCGGCAGGGCACCCGTCTGCCGCCAGCATGGCGCAGCGTGCCGAAGCGTGGAGCAAGACGGGCATCGCCGCTCTGCGTGACCTCAAGCTGGCGCAGCTGCCGGCAGAGCTGTTCAGCAGCAGCGTGGCGGCGCGTGTGCGGGTTCTGGATGTCGGCGGCAACGCGTTGACCGCGCTACCGCCGGCCATCAGCCAGCTGACGGCCCTGCAGCGCCTCCGCCTGTCGATCAACCAGCTGGGCGACGAGGGCGGGCCCTGGCAGCTGCTGACGGGGCTGACGCAGCTGGTTGTGCTTGCAGCAGACGACAACCGCCTCACGGCGCTGCCAGCCTGCATCGCAGGGCTGGCACGCCTGCAGAAGCTCAGCCTGGCCGGCAACCAAATAGGTGCGCTGTCACGGGATACTGCCCTGCTTTTTTAAGTCCGTCAGCCACAGCACCCCTTCTCCCGCCCCAAGCATTGAGCACGCCACCAGCAGCAGCTCACATTCCACTCAACCTACCCGGCCCTCCCTTGCAGCCAGCCTGCCGGACGGCATCGGCTGCCTGCAGCAGCTGCGCACCCTGGGCCTGCGCGGCAACCGGCCGGCGGCGCTGCCGCCGGCGCTGGGCGGCTGCAGCCAGCTGGTGGAGCTCGATGTGCGGGACAACCAGCTGGGTGTGCTGCCACCCGAGCTGGGCCAGCTGTCAAGCCTGAAGCTGCTACTGCTGGACAACAATAGGTGAGTGTGGAGGGACGGGGGCAGGGCAGGAGCCTGCAGAGACCACCGGGCTCCCTGCCTGCACTGATCCCATGGAAGTCTGCGCTCTGCCCGCTGCGCTGGCTGCAGGCTGCGCGCCGTGCCGCCAGAGGTGCTGACGGGCTGCGCAGCGCTGGCCACGCTGTCGCTGCACGGCAACCCGGTGACCGCCGAGGAGCTGCGGGAGATGCCTGGGTGGCGGCAGTTTGACGAGCGGCGGCGCTCCAAGTACGACAAGCAGGTAGGCCATGTGTGGGGTGGGGTGCGTGCATGGGGCATGGAGATACAGCACACATTGCTCTGCAGCGGCTGCTGGCGGGGAGGGGGGTCGTTGCCCCCTCCGCTGTTGGTACCTGCGTGCCAGGCGGCCCACTGCCCGGCTGGCTGGCTGTGTGCGGCGGGTGCAGGTGGACATGAAGGTGCTGAGCGGCGGGTTTGACGAAGGTGCCGACATCAACGAGTTTGAGCACTGGAACAGCTAGCTCCGCATTGAAACAGAGAACAGGCAGAACCAGTCCACTCGAGTTCAACATCGGCCAGCCCTTCTACATGCCGTCGACTGGCGGTTGGCAACAACACAGCTGTTTCGCATGTGATTGCAATGCATGGATTGCTAGGTTGACATAATCGCAATCGGCATTTAGCATTCGGCAGACCTCACGTCTTCTTGATTCAGCTTGGTGAGCGCTCCACCCACCCCGGCGAGGGCGGCGCAGGTGCGACGTGGCGCTGCCTTGGGCGCGTATAGGCAACCGCCACCCCAGCGCTGCAATCTCTTCACGAGGATTGTTAATCCACACTTTCCTAACAGAGAGGGACACAGCTGCGGCATGGCGGGCATCACCTCTCCTGTCACACTTGACAGGGTGCGCGGCGCGCTATGGGGTGAGTTAAGTGGCCCATCAGGAGCCCGACGGCGCCGGCGATCAGCCGCGCGAGTGGCTGCAATGGCGCCGCCCCGCCGCCTGCCGCCGCCGCCGCCGCCGCCACAGCGCTGCCAATCGGCATGCTTTATTGAGGGCGCTGTGTGCTTGCTGCAGGCGTATACATCGCGGACGCATTGTCGATGCCCGTGCACTGGTGAGCGCTCTATAGCCCTGATACTGCAGCCCTGCCTCGGTGCCTGCCGATCGTTCGGCAGCTCAGGCAACCGTGCCTGCCTGCATGCTGCACGCTGCATGGTGCCCTGCCCAGCCCTGATGCCTGCGGGCAGCTCCCCCCCTGCACCTCTTGCACCTTCATTCTGGCCTGCAGCCCTCCTCCTCAACCTACCCCTGCCCCCCTCCCTTTCCTCTTGCAGGTACTATGACGTCCGTGCCCTTCAGCGCGACTATGGGCGCATCACAACCTACCAGGCGCCCAAGGAGCGGCACCCGGGTGGGTGAGGGCCAGCTGGCCCCTGGGATGGGCTGGGCTGGTGGGTGGGCTAAGGGTTGGGTGGGTAATAGTACGGGGTTTCCTGCGACCACCACCACCACCCTCTGGATCCCATGCCTGCATGCGCACTCGCGCTGCGCACTCCTGCTGAAGCCAGGCACAGCCTGCTGCTGCGCAACCCTTTGCTGAGCCCCCGCTTGCCGATCAGCTTTCTCGGCGGCACGCCTGCCCCGGATCGCAGGTAGCATCATGAGCGTGAGCAACACAGGCGGGCATGGGAGGGGCGGGCAGGGCGGGCGCATCATCGGCGACGTCATCAACCACGGCAAGCACGACCGCTGGGGCAAGTCGGTGCGTGCGGCAGGGCGGGACGTAGTGGTGGCTGTGTTGGCTGTTGGCTGTGTGAGATGGCCGCTGGGGCACCAGCGGTTTCCGAAACTTGAGCGCAGCCATGGATTTGCCTGTAGCCGCAGCTCCCAGCGAGCATCCCAACCCTCACCTGCTCTGCCCTTGCCCCTTGCCTCTACCCGCGCCGCGCCCACGATGCAGGGTGTGCACTACCACGAGGGCATGGCGGCGGGAGAGAACACGCTGAATGCGCTGTGCGCGCGGCTGGTGACGCGCGGCATGGCGCGCCGCGGCGGTTACAGCCAAGAGGGCTTCCTTCAGGAGTGAGCGGTCTCTTTCTGTGGTTGACGCACACACATTGTGTGTTTCAGGGGCGCCACCATGCGATGCCTCCCTGCCATACCCGCCGCACTCGTCTTCTTCGCCACGACCCACCGTGCCGGGCGCCGCTGCCGTGCAGCTATGTCGCTTTCATGACTACCCCTGGAAGCCACAACGACACATACGCAGAGAGCTACCATCGCGACTTCTTCAAGAGTGAGTGGGTTGGCTGTTGGCGAGGGGTTGCAGGGCGTGGGGGCCGGGGATCGGAAACGGCACCCCCGGATCCCCGCCGGCGTGGTTCTCAAGTCTACAGCTGCTGCCGCTCAGCCCAACTGCCTCTCTGCCTCTCAACTCAACTGCCTTTCTTCCCAGATGCGCGTGGTACCACAAGCCAGCCGAAGCCCTCACCCCTTCCCTTGCCCCGCAACCATCCCCCCGCAGATTGGGCTGCCGGCGTGCCGCCCGAGAAGTGCGCCGGGGAAGAGGGCCACAACACCGCCTCCATCGGCGGCTTTGTCACGCTGCCGCCGGTGATCCTGGGGGCAATGCGGCAGGGCGCGGAGGCTTCGGCGGCGGCAGCGCGGCGCCACCTGGCCCTCACGCACCAGTCGCAGGCGCTGGGGAACTATGCACAGGTGCGCTGCGCTGCGGGGCCAGGCAGTACTGCAGCTGGTGGGTCGCCAGCTGAGCGCTTGTCTCCCTCCTGGCAGCCAGCCTCCAACCGCCTCCATTCACGGCCTCTGGCACTGCTGGTACCGCTTCTGCTTCCGATGTTGCTGTGCTGCTGTACTGCTGTACCGCAGGTGTACTCCCAGCTGCTGGTGGAGGTCACCAACGGGCGGGACCTGCGGGAGGCAGTGCGCTCTGCGGCCAAGGATGTGGGGGTGGACCTAGGTGAGGAGCCTGGGCCAGGGCATTCCTCCCCGTTTTGTTCTGTGCTCCGTGGTGGTGGTGGTGGTTGGGGGGGCACGGCTGGAGGGTGGCGGTGGTGTGCCAGTGCGCGTATGCGCGGTTGCTGTGGGTGGTGGGGTCCTGAAGCGGGCAGGGCTACGTCGAGGCCTGCGCCGGCCTGTGCCTCCACCACGTGCTGCCACCCTGTACCGCAGACGCTGCGCTGCGGTACGGCTACACCGACCAGGAGGTGGTGCACCGCGTGTACGGCTCCGCCTGCTACATCACAGACTCCTTCCCCAGGTGCTTTCTCCAGCTGGTCCGTCGACTTCACGTTGTGGCAGCCGGGGGCTGATGTTTGTGGTTTTTTTCCCAGGGGCCGGCCCCGGCATACAGCCACTGTAGTGCCCCAACCAACACACGCTCGTCAACTCGCCTGCTGACCTCCCTGCCTCCCCGACCCGCCTGCAGCGTGCTCTACCTGGCTTACAAGCACACCGACAGCTTCGAGGAGGCTGTGCTGGCTAACACCAACGTGGGCGGAGAGAACTGCCACCGGGGCTCCGCGCTGGGCGCGCTGATGGGCGCCGCGCACGGCGTGGCGGGCATCCCGCGCCCTCTCATCGAGGGCCTGCACGACAGCAAGGCCATCGGTGGCGAGATCGAGGAGTATGTGAGCGCGCTGTTCCTGGAGGAGGGCAAGGCCCAGGCGGCCGCCGCCGCGGCCAGCAGCGGCAAAGCGGAGCTGTGAGCGAGGCTGGCGGCAGGAGTGGTGTGCAGAACGTTGACAGTCGAGAGCATTGAACTCATTGGATTATTTATTATTATTATTATTTTTCAGGGTTTAGGGTTAATAATCTGATTGTAATGAGAGACTGACGAGCCCCTGCTATGTGGAGCCACCTCCTTTGTACGCTGGGCGGCGGAGGGTGTACTGCCAGCGGGCCCTGCCCGCCAGAAGCACCGCGCATTCCGGCATCGGTTCATCGCAGCAGCTTCATCTGGCCTTGCACGGCATCTTTGCACCTCCTACCGCGCGTTCAAAAGGCTGGCTCTGGCGCTGGCTCGGGCCGCCGCCTGGCGAGTGGCTCCAGCCTGCAGGCCGCACCTGCATCGTCTGCAGCACCTACGGCCTGCCTCAGCCGCCCGCGGCTTTCCTGACATCGCCACATTCCCTGTGGAGGGCTCGCCGGCGGCGGCGGCAGCAGCAGCCAGCATGGCCGACAGCGACAAGCGCAAGGCCGAGGAAGCCCTGGAGGGCGGCCCTGCCAAGAAGGCTGCCATCTGGCCGCTGGCGGTCAACCCGAAGCGCGTGCGCGAGCTGCGCAAGGGCGCGGTAGACAGCGACGGACCCGTCATCTACTGGCAAGTGCCGCGCCTGCCGCATACTGCGCTGCTGCTTGCCCGACAGCGCCCCTTGGCAAAACTTGTTGAAGAGGGACGCCCAGGGAGACCCCGTACCGTGCTGTACCGTTGCTGCAGGATGTCTCGGGACCAAAGGGTGCGGGACAACTGGTGAGAGCCAGTGGCAGCCGCCGCTCGGTCCGAGGTTGCCGCCGCTGACCACTGCCGCCCGCTTGCCCCAGGACGGCAGCAGCCACCTGCCCTTGTTCCGCACACATGCAGGGCGCTGCTGCATGCGGCGGCCGAAGCGTCTAAGCGCGGCGTGCCGGTGGCGGTAGCTTTCAACTTGGTAAGAGGCAGGGGCTAGCCTCGGCTGCCCTGCCGGGCCGTTGCAGCTCCTGCACCCCCACCCCCAAGCCCCCTTCCCGCTCCCCATCACTCCCTACGAGCACCATCTCTGAGCACCAGGCGTGACCGCCCCATCCCACCCGCTCCCTCTGCTGCTGCCTCCCCTCCACCACCACCCCACAGGTGACTGAGTATCTGCACGCCGGCGCCCGCCAGTTTGGCTTCATGGTGCGCGGCCTGCGGCTGATGCAGCCCAAGCTGCAGGCGCTCAACATCCCCCTCTTCCTGCTCAAGGGTGCGCCGCCCGGGGCCTGCTGCTGCACACCCGGCCCCGCTGTTGCCTCCACGCCTGCTGCACCTGTCAGCTACGCGTGTGCTCCCCTGCATGGCACCCGCGGTCTGCTCTGTGGCATACCCATACCCCGACTGGGCTGAGCCCGCTAAGCCCCTCCCACCGCATGCCCCCACTCTGCCCCTGCCTCGCAGGCGACCCTCTGGAGACTGTGCCGCAGCTGGTCAAGGACACGGGGGCCTCGCTGCTGGTCACCGACTTTGCGCCGCTGCGCCTGGGGCGGCACTGGCGGGAGGGGGTGGCTGCCAAGATCAAGGTGCCGTTCCACGAAGTGGATGCCCACAACGTGGTGCCCGTCTGGGTGGCTTCCGGTGCGCCCTGCCGCCATTTCCCATCCTTCCCCTCGGCTGTTTCGCCAGTGATCATGGAGGTGCATTGCTGGCGCTCTGCTTGCCGCTGCTGCCGCGTTCTCCAGCTTCAGGCCTGCCTGCCTGCCCGCTGCTGATGGGTGCCCCTTCCCATGCGCCCGCTCCCCACATGGTACCGCCTGTACCGCAGATAAGCGCGAGTACGCTGCCCGTACCATCCGCCCCAAGATCCACTCCAAGCTGCCCGAGTTCCTCACAGAGTTCCCGCAGCTGGAGCCGCAGGTCGGGCCTGGGCATGGGAAGGGGTGGGATGGGAAGAGAGAGGGTGCAGCTGGGGGTAGGCAGGTCTGGGCATGATGGTGCAGCAGGGTGGATTGGCAGCCATGCAACCCTTGGTGCTTCTCCCTAGCGGGCCAAGCCTGTCACAACACTCGGAATTGCGGCCCTGCCGCGTGCTGCACCTGCGCCCGCTTGCAGCCTGAGTGGAGCAGCGGGGTGACGCCCGAGGCGGTGGACTGGGATGCCCTGCTGGCAGAGGTGCTGGAGCGGGGCAAGGAGGTGCCCGAGGTGCGGTGGTGCGCCCCAGGGGAGGATGCTGCCATGGAGGTGAGCACCCGCCGCGTGCCCGACTTGCTGCCTGCCGCCTCGTCTCCTGCGGATGCCTGGGCCTGCCTGCGTTTCCACCTGCCTGCCTGCTTTGTTATCTGCCTGCCTGCCTGCCTGCCTGCCTGCCTGCCTGCTGTCGCATTGCCTAGCTGTCCTCAGTGTCAGCTCCCCGCTGTCATCCAGTCCCATCCAATGCCATCCTCCCTGCCGCCCGCTGCACAGGCCCTGAGCGGGCCCAAGGGCTTCCTGGGCAGCAAGGCGCGCCTGGCTCGCTACGAGGAGAAGCGCAATGACCCCACCGTGCCTGACGCCCTCTCAGGCCTCTCCCCCTACCTCCACTTTGGCCACCTGTCGCCGCAGCGCGCCGCGGTGGAGGCTGCCCGCAACAAGGCGGTGCACAAGGCGTCGGTGGAGGGGTTCCTGGAAGAGCTGATTGTGCGGCGGGAGCTGGCAGGTGGGGCGGCGGGACAGGCCAGCAGCCGAGCCCTGCCAGGGGGCGCGGGGAGATCTAGGGCAGGGGGGTTCTGCAGGCAGCAGTGTGGTTGCTGCTGCCGAGCTGCCCCGCCCTCTGCAATGCTGTCGTCCGTCGCACTTGCCACCACCACTACCACCACCAATTCCACCTCGCTCAGTGACCACGCTACGGTGCCTCCCACTTCCATGCGCAGACAACTACTGCTTCTATGTGCCCAACTATGATTCCCTAGACGCTGCCTACGACTGGGCCCGCCAGACGCTGAACGACCACCGCGGAGACAAGCGCGAGCACGTGTACACGCGGTGCGGGCTGGCGGGGTGGCTGGGCGCGGCGCCGGGCTATGGCAGGGGCGGTGCTGGGGTGCTGTGCCCGTCCCCATCACCGTCTGGGTACCGGCGTGGGCAGCGAGCGGTTGGGAGGACGTTGGGAGGGGCGGAGCTGCTGCCGCTGCCGTGCGCGTTGGCGTCATCTGCTGTTCACGCGTCTCGCGTTCAACAACGGCTTGCCTGTTGCGATGCCTGGTCTGGCAGGGAGCAGTTTGAGAAGGGGCAGACGCACGACAAGCTGTGGAACGCGGCGCAGGCGGAGATGGTGCACTTTGGCAAGATGCACGGCTTCATGCGCATGTACTGGGCCAAGAAGATACTGGAGGTGAGGTGGCGCTGAGCTGGCGCTGAGCTGGCGCTGAGCTGGCGCCGATGAAGCTGAGCTGGCGTTGAGCTGGCGCTGCAGGACTTGCTCGATTGGCACGGCTGGCTGTGCTGGCAGTGCTGGCGCGCCACGTGCCCGCCTGCCTCCCTCTGCCTCCCCTCCTCACATGCTCCGTCCCGTTCCCCGCCTCGCTGCTGCTGCAGTGGAGCGCGTCCCCTGAGGAGGCCCTGGAGATTTCCATTTGGCTGAACGACAAGTGACGGGACTCCTGGCCTTGGCGGCTTGCGGCCCGCAGCGCTGTTCCCCACTGCTTTGCGCATGGCAACAGGATGCTACCCTCATGCCAGCCACCCCTGCCCCGGCGGCCAGGGGTGGCCAGCCCGTTCCTTTCGTGATTTTTTCAACACTGCTTGCCTTCTCATGCGGTGGTGCAGGTATGAGCTGGATGGGCGGGACGCCAACGGCTATGTGGGCTGCATGTGGTCCATCGCCGGCATCCACGACCAGGTGTGTGTGTGTGTGTGTGTGTGTTTGTGGCACTGGGTGCAACAGACGGGCAGGGGCTGATTGGTGGTGCAAAGCGGATCACCTCTTCGGTTTGGGTTGAGGCCTACAGCGTCGGCAGCGGCCCCCTGCTCAACACGCCCCCCCTGCTTGGGCGTGCGGTGGGTGCAGGGCTGGGCGGAGCGGCCCGTGTTTGGCAAGATTCGGTTCATGAACTTTGCGGGCTGCAAGCGCAAGTTTGACGTCGAGAAGTACGTTGCGCGCATCGGCGCCCTGGTGCGGGACATCAAGGCCGGCCAGAAGTGAGGCGGGGTGGCTTGGATGAAGGCCGGGAGGCGGCTGCGGTGACATGCCGCCACGGCGGGCGGGGTGGCGCGGATCAGCTGGCCCGTTGGCCCTTGCTGGCACGTTGCGTTTCTCCTACCAGCTCTCGGTTGCTTATGTATTCCAGCTTGTGACTCCACGAGAAAGCACACGAAACAAGGCTTTGCAACATGGAAATGTGCGCCAGGGTGGCGGTGCCCGGCTGCGTGGCGGCGGTCAAGCAGGGGCAGAACAGGCGGCAAGCGGCAGATCCGTCAAACCGCAGGCACATCATGATCATGCAGCAGGTCAGCAGCAGCAGCTTGTTTGGGTCGGGCCAGCGGCAGCTGGTGGCGGCGCCGCGCTCTCTTCGGTGAGTGAAGCGCGCCAACCGCAACATCTTCACCGATCCGAAACTTTCAGGCCGTGGCAGGCACAACGTCTGTGAGGATCACGTGCGAACATGGCATGCCTCCCTCCCCAACTCTCCCGGTTGCGACTCCACCACGATCCTGCTTCCCTTGGCGCAGCCGCAGCAGCAGGATGGGCAGCGCTCCCCGCTGCCAGGCGCCGCAGCCGACGCCCCGCCGCCTGCCGCTGCCGCCTGCCGCCGCCATGGTGGAGGCGCCCCTCGCCCCGCCAGAGACCAAGCAGAACGACAGCGAGCAGGCCCTGGTGCGCTTTGGATTTCCCAAAGGGTCGCTGCAGAAGAGCACTGAAGACCTGTTTGCGCGGGCGGGTGAGTGGGATGCGGCCGCAGCCGCCACCGCCACCGCGAGCGCCACCTGGAGCACGGCTGCTCAGCCTTCCAGGCCCACTCCCAGCCCCTTGCTCACCCCGCCCTGCCCCCTGCCTGGCAGGTTTCAAGGTGAAGATCAGCGAGCGCGGCTACTTTCCAAAGTGCGACGACCCGCAGCTGCAGATGGTGCTCTTCCGCTCCCAGGAGATCAGGTGGGGCTGCAGCTCCGCCAAGCGGCAGCCCCAGAGCGGCAGCCCCAGAGCGGCAGCCCCAGAGCGGCAGCGCTGCCGCCCTCATCAGCTGGTCTGCAGGCCTGGCAGAGGAGGCGCTGATGTGCCTGCCTGCATAGCGCTCGGCTACCTGCATGGCCTGCGTGGTTGGGGTTTGAGAGGCGCAGCCGGGTTGGGGGTTGCAGCTCGCTCCCTGACACCTGCCGTGGTGTCCTCACCGGCGGGCGCTGCCGTGCAGCCGGTATGTCGAGGATGGCGTGCTGGATGCCGGCATTTGCGGCTATGACTGGATCGTTGAGAATGGGGCTGATGTGGTGGAGGTGCGTGGTGCGGCATCTGGCAGCAGGCTTGGCGGCCTCGCTGCGGTGCATGCGCCCACAGGTAGTCCCATGGAGGCCCCCTACCCACCCTCCCCTGCTGCTGCCTGCCAGGTGTGCGAGCTGCCGTACAGCAAGGCCACCAGCAAGCCGGCGTGCTGGGTGCTGGCGGTGCCCGAGAGCAGCCCCGTGCAGCAGCCCGAGGACCTGGCAGGCACCATTGTGGCTTCCGAGCTGGTCAACACCACACGCAGGTGCGGGGCTGGCAGGGGGGGCAGCAGGGAGGGGTCTGCTGGGATGTATGGCTTGGCGGGGCATGCCAGCCACAGAGGGTCAGCCGGGCTCCCAGCCGGCTGCTGCGGCAGGCACGCCAGTTGGCTGCCCGCCCCCTGACACCTACCTCCTGTGTCGCACTTGCCGCCCTGACTGTACCGCTTTTGTACCGCAGGTTCTTCGACGAGCGTGGTATCGCGGTGAAGAAAGTGGAGTACAGCTGGGGGGCAACCGAGGTCAAGGCATCTTTGCCTGGCGTGGGCGGCATCGTTGACATCACCGAGACTGGGTCCTCCCTCAAGGCCAACAACCTCCGGGTGCGGACTTCTCCCGGACCACTGCGGCAGCGGCAGGCTCGTGTGCTGTGTGTGGGCTTGGGTGTGGCCACGCTGGGAGCGGGTGCAGATGGCGTGGCGCCTCCCCACAGCAGCCAAGCCCGGGCACCTCTCTTCCACTTACAGAGGGTTGCTGCTGCGGTTGGGCAGCCCCTGGGTTTGCCCTGGTCCGTATCCTCAGGTATCTGCACCCGCCGCCGCTGCCGTGGCTGCAGGTTGTGTCTACCATCCTGGCCTCCGCCACGCGCCTGGTGGCCAACAAGGCAGCCTGGGCCGACCCCGCCAAGCGCACCAAGATCGAGGATGTGGCGCTGCTGCTGCAGGTAAACGTGTAATGAGTGAGGTGCCTGCTGCTGGCTGCTGGCAGGGGGCTAAGCTCCCACGTCGAATTGCCGACGGCTGAGGGGCAGCTACCAAGTTGCCAACTGTCAGTGGAGGGAGGCATGTGTGAGGATGGCACGGGCACATCACGCCGCTGCTCCTCACCGCTGCCTGGTGATCGCCTCTGGCGCAGGGCGCGATTGTGGGCAAGGAGAAGGTGGGGCTGAAGATGAACCTGCATCGCGACCAGCTGGAGGAGGTGAGGCGGCGTGGGAGCAGCGGGAGCAGCTGTCGCCGAGCGCTGCCGCCAGCCTTGCGGGGCGATCTCACCAGGAGCTTGCGCCGATGTTTTCCACTGTATTGCTCGCCTGCCCTCGCAGGTCAGCAAGCTGCTGCCCTCGGAGCGGTCTCCTACCATCAGCCAGCTGGTGGACAGCGGGTTTGTGGCGGTGGAAGTAATAGTGGACAAGAGCCAGGCGCGAGACCTCATCCCCACCTGCAAGCGCTTGGGAGCCACCGGAATCGTCGTATGTGCGTGTCCTCCCGCCTCCCTGCGCTGCCCATCAACACCTCTTCTGGCCGCTGTGGCGCTCTGGCTGGTGCTGGATCGCGCGGTGCTTGTAGCGAGGGCTGATGTAGCACGTGCGTTGTTGTGGCTGCTGCTGATGTCCCAACCCTTGTGTGCTGGGCTGCAGACAATGTTGACGTGATCATCCACTGACGGCCGAAGGAGAGGAGGGCAAGAGGCTTATTAGAGAAACGAGACGAACCCAGCTGTCATTCAGCATTGGCCTGCAGCTTGACACGCACCAGTTTTCCGACAAAACTTTGTGCCCGCGATTGCAGCACTTGCACATTTGTCCAAGCTTGTCATTTTTGTTCCCATCCTTCCATTGGGCCAGCTTTTCCCACTGGCCGAGTTTTCCCATTGCCTGCATCTGCATTTCTGCAAGCGTGCAGTTCTTGCAAAGAACCATGATGTCTTTGTTACATGCGATGAGTGGAGTAGGTGGTAGAAGATGTGGCAGGAAAGCAGCAAGGAGCAAAGTAAGCAGGAACAGGGCACTGATAGCAGAACAGCGGAGCAAGGAATGGTATGATGCGGAGCAGAACGGTAGCAGAATTCATACAGTGATAATGGCAGGAAGAAGACAGGCAGGCGCGGGGGCGGCATCAACAGTTGTCCTTCCTGCGGTGCATTGCTCAGCCGATGCTGCCCTCACGGCGCCTCTGCATACAGCAGGCACGCGGGGGCGGGGTCAGGAATGCAGGCCTGGAGACAGTTACCATCTGGCTGTGGGCTTCCCCATGCCCCCTACCTTTTCTCCCTTGCTGGCCTTCACTTTGAGCTTGATTTTTGTGGCCGCAGGCGGGGCTGCGGCGCCCCCTCCAGCACTGCCCGCGCCCTGGGCCCCGCCCGAGGCTGCGGTGGTGGAGGGCGTGCCAAAGCCGCCCAGGTTTGTCTGCAGGAGGTCGCCCTTTTCCGCCTGCGGGCGCCACGGGTGGGGCAGGCGGGTGGGTGAGCGGATAAACAAGGCGCCACAGGTGGGGGCCGCCTGCCAGCAGGGCGGCGCTGCGGGCAAGTCATCCTGCCAGTGCCGCCGCACCTCGCTCAGCCGCAGGCCGCCGGGCTGCAGCGCAAAGGCCTTGTCGAATGTGGCCTTGGGCAGCGGCTTGAACTCGGGCCTGTTGGTGGAGGGGAACTGCTGGGCCAGCGGCGCCAGGTCAAACGCCGTCCCCTTGCGCCGCCAGTCGGTCAGGCACAGCATGCGGCTCTGATAGTCGGCAGGGGCCAGCCGGCCGCTCAGCACGTGCGCCGCAATGTTGCCCAGGGTGTGGGCATCCAGCAAGGCGCTGTCGCCGCGCTGGTGCGGCTCGTCCGGGGCCACTGCAGGCGGGGCGGCGGCGCAGGGGCGGGCAGCGGGTGGCGAGGTGGGCGAGCGGTGGCAGGAGCGGCAGCTGCGGCTCGCTCGCTCAGGCGTCCTTGTCGCCGGGCGCGTCTGCAGGCAGCGGCTCATCCAGCTTCTCAAGCTTCTCGCGCTCCTGCGCCAGCTGGTTGGTTAGCGCCGCAACGGCGGCGTGCCTGTCGGAGGTCCCCTTCTGCAGGCGCGGTCCACCTGCACCTCCACCGCCACTTCCACCTCCACCACCGCCTCGTCCAGGAAGCGCAGG